ATATCCCAATAATATCCCTTTTTCTCACTGTTGGTTGGTAAACTTTGGTTAGCATCCACCATAATCCAATTACTAAGTCAAGGCACGTTTGAACCGTTTGATGGTTTCCCCGAGGTAGGTGACCATCAGACCGTTCCAAACTCTTCTTGCTTGAGTTTAAGGTCAATATCCACCATTCACATCTATACCCCAATATTAATATACGTCCAATAAAAGACATCACGATCAGGTTGTTATAATCTATCCAATGTGGATTATTCACTGTTTAGATCCCATCAAATCCATACTTTATGGCTGGTCAAATCCACATAGTGAGTGGTCAAATGATGCTACTTCCACATGTTTATCATTGTTTCGTAGGTCAACTATGATCAAATGTTAAACATTGTAATCTTAATTCGTTAAACGCCATTTCGGCTAGTTAAGCCCTGATATTGTCTAGCCTTATCATACCTATACAACTCACCGGTTCCAACGACACGCACCTTGGTGATAATCCTGGGGCGGTTGGTCTTTTCAGCCACCTTCTCCAGCATTTGAATCAGTGCCTCAGGGACGGTGACGGCAATGCCACTGAAAAAACATGTGTGGCAACTCACTCTATCCTTTTTGGGCGCGTTTTGAAGAGCTTATCTAACTGGATTTCGACCCGTGCCAACTTCTTGTTGCAGAGTTTGTTGTGGATTTTGGAGCTATAAAGCTTCAAAATGTCGATGTTTTGACAACATGGATCCCATGGAAAAAAAACCATCGGAATTGGTCGAGTCTTGGGACCCAATGGACAAATGCACAAACGGGTGCCCGTTTGGTTCCCACATTTGTGATGCTATCACCGATGTATATAAATTCCGATAGAAAAGATCAAATAACATTACATAACGAGCCCGAGTGACCCAGATAGGAACAGAAACAACGTTCGACCAGTGAATAAGTAAGAATCATAATTCACCTTAACCCAGGTCCCAGCACATATGTGATGGTCAGCCCTGGAAATCATTCCTTTCCACGGTGCGTGCGCGGCTGCAAACGGTCACCCAGACGTGCCACCAGTGACAGGTCCAAGCCAAACCTGGTGGAGATGGTCCATCTAGGGATGGTTTATATCATCCATCTATAGTGATCTCTTGGGGCTGTTGAAAATTCATGACATTGGATTTGGCAGGTCATGGGCACCAACCTCGTCAATATATCATGGTGATTAGATGGTCATATTAGTTAGAAGTTGTTAGTACCATTCGTCGTAATGATTGTTAAAGACGATAGTAGTTATTAGAGTTAATATGGTTAACCACAATCCTCGAATGTGACGGATTAGATACCTAGCAAACCGACTGCATCATCTACAAATGGGCAACTTCAATCAGCTAAAGCATCTAACTGCTAGCTACTCACGAAATTTGGGTTCCCTTTTTTATATCAAAAAAATGGAACCCAATTTGTGTCGATAAAAGCCATAAATTGCATCTCCGATTTTTTTTTTGGGATGCTGGTTTTGGACGATGGTGATTGAGAATAAGGTCTTGAACATAGTGCATTGAACATGGTGAACTTTTTACGGTATTTGATAGTCATAAAACGATGTCAACTATATAGCTCATAAGTAGTCAGCACGATACATGATTATTTGTAGCTTCGAGTAGACCAGTAACCATTACCATCACCAACAATCAGTTCTCATCAATAATTGAGCAGCCCTAGCCCTCTCCTCGAAACGGACACCCACCAGAGGAGCTAAGTCATAGGCTTCTCGTTTGCCGTCGTATCCGGAAAGCATCACCCCAGCGTCGTTCAGGACATATCCACCGACCTTAAGTTCCATGACAGTGGCTACGGTGGCTACGTCCTAAAATCAGGATCTGATTGGTGAAGGGAAGTTGGCAACATTAATAGAGACAGTGATCCCCAGAATGTGAATCTATAAAAATCAAATGTATTCAAATGTTACAAACATTGTATAATCATGTATAATATATTCATACTGATCCCCAATATCTTTGTGATCCGACAAATCTATATACAAGTGATGATTCCTTCCTATGTTTGATATTTATTGGCCCAGAAATCCAAACAAACAATCTTTATTGCCGGATGAAATGGGGGCCAAGCTGGTCTGATTCGCGAGAAAGGACACTGAGTAACTGCGTATCTGCGTATCCGTCAAAATTATCCCTAAAATAGTTGATGGTAGGCACCATCCAAAATGATCAAAAGATACCAAGTTGGTGTCCATTCGCACCTCAATCGTAACCCATTCCTGGTACCATGACTGCCATTCCAAGGAGCTGTAGGTGGCAGACACTCCAGGGCCAGAGAACAACAACTCCAAGGATTCGGCTGTTGTCGCCCTTAGAACCTGATCCCGGCTGTGGCTCCATCAATCCCAGTGGATATATGATGATATATGTTCCTATTGTTTATAAGATGGTGAGAAATATGTGTTCAGATGTTTCAAAATGTTTGGTTTGTATATAATCACCAAAGATTTCAGATCTCACCCAGGAATGACTGGAAAGGTCTGAAACATCTCAGTTTCTGCCCGTGTGAAAGGAGGGCCACTGATTTAAGGATCTGGGCCTCTGGGGTATCCCCCAATAGCCTTCTTGTCTGATAAACGAGCGGATTGAAAGATGTTTCCCCCAAATTCTCAGACAAGAAGCTGCCAAAGAGACATAGCGAAGAGGTTTCGAGACCATTCTCGCTTTCCGCAGTCATGAGACTCTCACGGACAAAGCTTTACAAGAGTGTCTGTGCCCGTTTTCATGTTTTAGTGGCTATAGAGCATCATTGAGTAGCATAATTTGTCCACATTTTTTTTCAAATACACGAAGTCCAAGCTAAGTGAATAGTTGATGTGGAAAATGTGTCTCTTAAGCGTGTACCCATGTCGCATGCCCAGAAAAAGTGCGCGATCCCGCGTCTACATCTATTGGCAGACGTTGCAGCGTTGTTTCAAGTGTTATAATTCCTGTGTAATGAACATGACCTCGAAGCGGAACGTTGCAACTCTTGAAAACTCAAATTTTGTAGACTGTCACACGGTGATCAGGATACGCTGTGGCTGCACATGAAAAGAATACTACTCATCCCTGTCCGGTCCTCGTGGAACTTGTCCAGCACTGAGCCGCCGGATGGCATTACATTGCATTGCATTTTGCATCGCATTACATTGCATTGCACTACATCGCCTTACATTGCATTGCATTACATTGCCTTACATTGCATCGCATTGCATTGCATTTCATTGCATTGCATGTCATTGCATTACATTACTTTGCATTGCATTACATTGCATGACATTTCATTGCATTACATTGCACCTGTGCGGCGCAACCATGCGCCTGTGCGGCGCAAACACTATCTGTATAATCATAGGGCCAAACTACTTGGTTCAACCGTATTTTCCGGGCCTCATGCAACAAAGCGGAAGCAGTATCTGGACAAGACACTTGGACACCTAAACAACTGATAAGAAAGGAATTCTGCAATGATAAGTAGAAACCAAAAATGACCTGGGAAAATACGATGGCCAAGCATGTCCAGCCATCGTATTTTCCCATATCCTTTTTGGACACCAACAATGCTCATTGCATAGGATACCTGAATTCAGGATACCTGAATCATATTCATAAGAAAAGGGTCGAACGCCTAAAGGTGCGAAGCAACGAAGCATATTTCTGCCAATTTGGTTTGATTCATTGCCGATCCTAGGCTCTCTTTAGGATGCCATTTAGGGTTTCATTCAAAGTTTCGTTGGGCTTTCATTTATGGTTTCTTTAGGCCAATTTATGATTTCTTTCGGGTTCAATTAGTGTTTCATGTAGGGGTTTCTTAGCAGCAATTCTTTAGGGTTTTTTGGGGTTTCACCTAGAGTCTTTAAAATTTCATTTAGGATACAAACAAGAGAGAATAAAACAAAAGAATTAGGGTTTCATGTAGGGATTCTCTGGAGATTTACATCTCTTAAAGGTTTTATGTCGGGTTTCTTTTGGGTTTCTGTCGGGTTTCATGTAGGGTTTGATTTAGGGATTCTTTCAGGTTTCATTTAGGGTTTAATTTAGAGTTTTGTGTAGGATTTCTTATCAGAAAATCTTGTCAAGGTTTTCAAACATTCATGTGGGTTTCTTGAAAGTTTCTTTAGAGTTTCATTTAGGATTTCATTCACAAGGTGGGGGATTAAAAAAAACAAGGGCCCCCTATACTTTGATAAAATATCATGCACCTGTGCGGCGCAACCATGCACCTGTGCGGCGCAACACTAGCTGTATAATAATAGGGCCAAAAATATCGTATATATATATATGTATATCTAACTATTATACAGCTACTTAGATCCATGAACCCATAAAACCATAGGATCATAATATTAACATCCACCCAAATGAAAAACCCATTTACAAATGAAAATTCAAACCTATCAAATATATTTCACAACAATATACATAGGAAAAAGGTCGAAAGCGTCAAGGTGCGAAGCACCGAAGAGTTTTTATGCCAATTTGGTTTGCTTCCTTGCCGATTCTTCCGGGGTCGGCGGCAGGGGCGGCAGCCCTTAAATAAATATTATATACACCCATATATAGCCTAGCAATATGCTAACGTGTTACATTCAAATAGGGCAGAAAGAAGGCTCGCTCCAAATCTCACAAGTGTTTGTGAGAAGTTCGACACATCAGTCCTGTGAAGACATCATGAGTTTTACAGGCTTTTAGATTTGAAATCTCACGCGAGAGCCACCAGCCACCTTCGTCGCGTTCATCCTTGTCGCCCTCGTCCTGAGAAGGTTTCACAGCACATTTTGAAACATTTTGAAACTCTGTTCTGTGTAGCATTGAAATTCTATAAACCCAATTTGCAAGTATGGCCACCGTCCTCAGAATCGCCAAGCAGAAACCGCATCCTCGTGCTGTCAAGCGACTCGCCCAAGTGGATCGCAAGTTTCCGCGAAACAGAAGCAAAAGACACTGAGATTTGCAAATCAAGTGGGAAAGATATTGAAAAGACTATGAACAGATTGAACAATGGAAAACCATTGAAAAAATTGGATACAATTGAAAACAAGTGAAAACATGTTGTGGATAGATATTGAAAATCATTGAGAATGGGGTAAGACCTCTCCTCTTCGCCACATCCATATCGCTTGTCGGGCCTTGAAGGGCTGCTGGGGCGTGAAAGGGTGCCAAAAAATCAGTGTATTTCCAAGAGCGCCTTTTTTTGTGTAATCCAAGATGATTTAACTGAGCTAACTGCACATCTGTTGATATCTTTTGGTAAGACATGGGTCTTTACGCGACACGCACTGCTGAAACGAGAGAAACGACTCCAAAAAGCCCGCCTGAAATGTCAGGGTCATCGCTATCTGAGAAGTCTTCTTCTCCGAGGCATTTCAGCAGAAACTGCCTGCGAGTCAAGGCCAGTCACGAGTCGAGACATGTCGAGACGAGTCGAGATGACTGGATTCGGATCTACCAGGCGACGGAATCCCAAAGCCCTCACTCAGTGTAAGTTCTGTGTCATATCGTTAGTCAATTTTAGTCATATCCCCAAAAAGAAGTGGGACCAACCCTGAGACCATCTCTCAATCACGAATCCTCTCGACATCCCTTAGCATAAAATCCATAAATGGGCTGGCCTCTGTGCTTGGGAAAGCCTGCAAGCAGCAACGTCTGTTGACCGGAGCCATACTGCGCTAACCATCACGTAACTGCAAAAGCAGAAACTATCTGTTTGTAATCCGATCTGCTCTGACTTTTCCACTGCTTCCCGTTGAATAAAGCTATCTCATGCAATCTCGATCTTCTGCTCCCAACGTAGTCTAGGGCTAGTTTGGCTGTGGGAGTTGCGCTGCAAATGCGGTGAGTTCACGGGACATGACGCTGCTTGGCCGCACTGGAAAATCCCACCTTTTTCGCCGGCCTTAGGTCAGGCACATTGAACCAAACCAGCACAGTCTCTTACCTTTGCCAATAAGGATATTTCAAAACAGGCTAACCACCTGTAGCACACAAGACCACAGCACTGTAAGCAAAAAGTCAAAGCTTTTTACTGTGAACATGCCATGCAATTGAAATTGGACAACACGCATGTGAGCCATCTCACAGCATTTGAGCCCCATGGAAACTCACTAATGAGATGCTGGCGTCTAGACCCGCTTTGTTGGAGATCCATCACGCAGCGTCTTTGGTTTGAAAGAAAAAGGACGTTGCCAACTGGGTCCATGTGGTTGTTTCACAGTGTTTCATGTTGTTCCTGACTTTTTGCTGTGGAGTTTACACTTGTTCGATGGCAGTTTCTGGTCAATGTGTCATGGCCTTGTGCCGCAAGATTCCAATGCATTTTGGACTGTCTGCCATGGGTTCTGTCAAGCGTAGTGTCGTACCTACCACCAACCACCGACGACTGGGTTTGGCCACTCTGCTGGCTTGAACAGCAAGGAGCTCAGTCGAGTCTCAGGGAAGAGTTCCCAGTACCAGCTGACTTCCTGTTCCGCGATGGAATGTTGATGTATGAATCATTATGAATCCATATATTAGAGTGGAATCTGAAAATATGAAGGGCTTCCAGATACTTCACGGAATGATTCAGAAATGATAGAAATGGAATGGAAGGGATAGAAAAGCACAGAACGAATGGCACCCTTTGCAACGGAGAATGAGAATACCCCCAGTCTCGCCTCGCACTGCCCGCTTGGGGGAACGGCAACTCGCCCAACGCTGGTAGGTCTTCTCCAAGTCCCAAACATGTAAGGCCAATTCCTGGCAGAACACAGGTGTCAACGGTGTCAACGGTGTCAACAACATTCCAATTTTGTTCAAACCATGTAAGACATTCAACTGGAAAGCAGTTACCGAGGAATCAACTGGATACGACGTAGCTATGCGTAGCTATCTTTTAACTTTTGTTACTCTACTTGAGTTTGTTTTCTAAAATAACTTGCTGGGAGATTTCAATGTGCAAGCGAATTGCACCAACGTGCATTGGCATACCTGTGTCGTATTTTGATGGACTTTTTTTCGGCGAATCAGCGCAACTTTCCTCCTTGGTTGCCATTGCTGCTCTTTCACGTTCCGCCCACACGCTGTCATCTCCTGCAACATTCGTCTTGTACATAAGTGACAAACACAGAATATCCAGGGAATATTGCTTGGCCTCTTTGCAGGAAGGAAATGGTTTGAACGATCTTGAACAGACCGCTCACAGACACAGAAATACTGTTGCTGTAAGACGTCAGTTTGTTGGATTACAAATTGTGATATTCGCAGGTCCACATCCCTTTCAAGCCACAGACACAGACTGCTGGTCACAGCTCTTCACTTCATGTCCTTCAAGAATGCTGCTGCTTTCAATCAAAGGACTAAGTCGAGCTTCATCATTTGAACGACGCCGCTCCTGTCACAAGGAGAGCACACCGACTCCCACGCATAAGAGTTTTGATGAGCCATGTCGTTTGATGTCTCATAAACAACACCACATTGCCGGTCTCCGACTTTGTCCAGTCACCAAGTTCGTTTACTTCGTTGCTCTCTTACTGTCGCACTGGGAATTGCAGCGAAATCTGGGCAAGTCTACATAACGATGATGTATCAAAGATGTACTGTATATTGTCTTCCCTCACCTAACCGTGACCCGGATAGTTGAAACAGCTTCCCAAAGATCGCATCCCGAGGCCATCCGATGCCCGCCATCAATTGGTTCAGGCGGTATCGACAGGTCGCAGCATCCACTTGCCGTGCCAGACGAGGACTCGCAGGTCACAGAGGCTGAGAATCAAATTCTGTTGAGTAGATCTGGCAAGCACAACTGACACAGGCAGACTCTGCCACGACCTTCCTGCAATATGGCCATAGACAGAGACTGTGATTACTTCAGCGGATGCCAATACTTATCGTGAAAGTGTCCCATTGGCACGTCTCTTTCGTAATTCCTTTTGTAACTACAGTATATGTATCATTTATGTAGCTGTATATAGATAATGAATTCTACGCGCTACGCCCACAAGCGACCACTTTATGGGAAAAAGATGGAAAAAGAAAAACAAAAACCTTTCGGAAAGGCATGTCACCTCGACATCCCCTCGCGTATCATGTTGAATCAAGACAAAGCGAAGACTTGCTGGGCACTTTAAGAAACACCCAGAAGATGTGGCACAGCTGTGCTGCATGTTATGCTGTGCCAAATCAGCGCCTGTGGATTGCAGCATCGAGCAGAATTGCCAGGAAGAAGAATGCAAAGCCCTTGGGGACAATGTCGTTGCAAGTTGTGTGAACAATGTAAACTCAAATCGTGTCGTTGCAAGTTGCCCGCCGAATCATAGAGACTCAAAAAAGTTGCAATTGCTTCCCATTCTGATGTTCCACCTGCCACTTAAAGATCGATAGCCTGTCTCTAGAGTTTCCAGTCCCCAATCCCTTCCAAATCATAGGCAATGAGCCCTGCATTTCAAAGGTCCATCTCTTCAATTCCTTCCAAATGATTCTGGCCATGAGCTATGCAAATGCTTCTGCCAGCATCCCTTATCTATCCTCCACCACGAGATACAAGAGTGGCTCCCCTGGCAACAAAAATGCAGCAAACATCAATTTTTCATCCTGTCATGTGACAAAAATATACAAAAATAGGGCAAGGATAGTGACTTGATAGTCACCAAATGTCACCAAACTACCTAGGTTCGACACATGTTACGGCCACTCCAACGTGGATAACCCGTGGTGATGCCTTCAATATTTTTCTAAGGCGCTGTCGTCCAAAGTCCAAAGGCTCTGGAAACAAATCTACAGCTATTCACTCTTCGATAACCCTTCAGCTATCTTCAGCTACCTTCAGCTGGCTACAGCTATCTACAGCTCTGTTCCGCACGGGAACTATGGTGGGTAGGACCTCCTCAGCTTTGCGCTGGGTCCACTGGGGCTTGGGGCTTTTCTGGTCTCGGTCTCATGAAAAGAAGCTCGGCCTTGGTGACACAAGTGGAGCCAATGCATGATATGCATGTGCATACCAATGTGCATTCCAATCTCCATGCAATGTGGATGTGCGCAAGACTGATTTCGACAAGTCACATAGAGACCTGCCTGTGCCAGACATTCCTTGTAATTCGCTACGTCGACAACTTCACCTCAACTTCTCGAGGTTGATCGCTGGCTGAAGCCGAAAAAATGCAGCACAGCGCAATGTATCCGAGCAGCTATTCACGGCCAGGAGGACATCTTCTTTCCTCGGATGGTACTCTATGGCAAGCAGCATTTCGCAAGAAAACAACAGATGCACTTTATAGAGTCACCATACACATCCGTGGTAGGGTTTATCAAACACATGTTTCCCATCATGCATTTTCGCCCTTTGTGCACATATATCATATAAGGAAGATATCATCTGGAATCGCTCTGCACCATTGTATTAAAATGTCCTAGCTGTTCTTCGGGTAGGTCCTGTCCAAGTCCAAACCTTCTGAACCTTGGAGCGTGCCAATCTGCGCCCAAGCAGCTTGATCCGCCATGGTTTCCTCAACACCGCCACATCGTGTCACTAGAAAGCACACCACAAAACAAGTTGGTTCAACCAATTCACCAACCGGATAACCTACCGGTGAACCAACCGGTTGAACCAACCGGCGAACGAATGTTAAAGAACCATGGGTGACATGGCTAGCCACCCAAATCTCACCTGCAGCCAAGGCGACAGTGGCACTTCGCAATTCCATTCGTGTGCAGGAGTAGCTTCTCTGATTTCACTCAGCTGCGGCTCCATTCAGAATTGCAACATGAGTGTCATGAATCTGCAGATCATGGTCAGGCTACTCCAAACTATACTTTTATACAGTGACAGGTCGGTTAACTCAAAAGAAGCTGCACCAAATGTTTGCTTCCAATTAGCTATCTTCAGATTATGTCACGTAAATTATGCCTCCTTTCGGCTGCAAATAGAAAGTCATCAAATGCCATAGCATGAGCATGATGAAGCATCATCAAACATTCAAACATTCGCTATCACAGCTATCTACATCCAAAACATCCCAAAAACATCAAGCCACTCCAAGGGAAACATACGTCCAATGCGCAAGACTCTGCTGAAGCCAAGACGCTTAACCACAACTCCTGCAATGAACTGTGAGGAAACCTTTCCCGTAGAAACAACTAGGAAACACAAAAATCAACAGAACAGCTGAACCACAAATGTCTTCCCTGTTCACCTGGCTCCGCTCTTCAAGCCCATGTTTGGATATTTTTGGTTAGAGTTGTTAGACGCTGCTTACATGAATTTCAAACCGCATGCGGTCTCTCCATGTGTAGAAGGTTTGGCATCTTATCAGTTCTTATCACTTCTTATCACAGAATCTTATACAGAATTCTATGTTTTTCCAAGCTCCTGCTGCACGTGGTCCAGGATTTCTCATTGACAAACCCCATTTCTTCGTAGTATCTGTTCGAACCCTTGGCCGACACAAAGAATGGGAAAGATCCGAGACCAATGACATTTGACGCCTTTGTCCACCCTCTGCAACTACAAACCTTCCAGAGAAAGAGTTGCTCTCCCAAATTTTACAGGTCAGCTGAGTGTTCCTGTGGTCGAATCGTTCTCAGTGGTCCTGCTCTCACTACTGAAACATTTTTTGTTTTCCCGTTTCACTCATTTTGCTGCGAACTTCTACATAATAGTTGTTAGTTTCTGTTTGCAGATGGAAGGACAGTCACAAGTTAAAGCAAACGCGTTTGCGCGCCCCTAATATCAGGAAAAGTTCACGCACAAGAAACCCATGGTTTTTGGCAGCGTTTACTGTATGTTACTAGATAGGTGGATGGATGGATGGACGGATGGGTGGATAGATCTTCCTTAGGCCAATTGGGAAATGTATGGAAATGTGATTTTCTGCACCATTGGATGGAGTGGGATGAATCTGTGGACAAACTCCTATCCATCATAGGTTTTTACACCCACCCCCCTCTTTTGGCTTGGTGGTTCTGCAAGTATATGTAAATAACGTGGGCAACATCAAAAGCATTGCCACTATCATGTTGCAAGAACCCAGACTGCTGATCGAAGGAATTTTAGAGGTCAAACTTCCGACAATATGGACAGATGAAAAGCAGAGATGGGAAGAGTCAGTGAAGAGAAGAGAAGAAGAAAGAAGATCAAAAAAGAGAAAGTCTCAGAAAAAAAATCCAGGTGCGCGAAAAGGTAGGAAAGTCCCGAAACACTGTGTTTTTCCAATGATTTGTGGCTCCGGAGGGTCGAAAAGTAGGCTCGCTAAAGCGGCGGGTGCGGAGCCTGCTGTGCAGACGAGAGATGAAAAATTGCACGCCGTTGTGAGGTTTGCTGAGACGATTTTGCGTGACAGGTGTAGCACTTCGTATGACCCGGTATCACTTTTTCGTTGCAGGCGCAGTAGTTTAGACAGATGGTGTTGAAAAATCGCAAAACGCAATGGCACGAGGCCGTCAGCTCTGCACTCAACTTTCCATGTTTGAAGGACGTCTGGCAGAATTGCTTCGTTTTTGATGTTGTCAACTTAAAAAAAATGGGGAAGTCTCGCAGAATTGCGTCGTTTTTGACGTTGTCAAATGCAAAAATTGAGGAAGTCTCGCTGAATTGCTGCGTTTTTGATGTTGTCAAGTTCAAAAACTGCGGACGTCTCGCAGAATAGCTTCATTTTCAAGCTTGCAGATAGACAGATAGACAGACACAGACAGATAGATAGATAGATAGAAAGGATAGATAGGATAGATCGAATAGATAGGATAGAAAGGATAGGATAGATTAGATTGATAGATAGGAGCGATTAGATAGGATGGATAGATAGATAGATAGATAGAAAGGATAGATAGGATAGATCGAATAGATAGGATAGATTAGATTGATAGATAGGAGCGATTAGATAGGATAGATAGATAGATAGACAGATAGATAGATAGATGGATAGACAGATAGATAGATAGACAGATAGATAGATAGAAAGATAGATAGATTGATCAATCGATAGATATATAGAAAAATAGAGAGATAGATCGATCGATCGGTGGATAGATAGATAGATAGATAGATAGGTAGATAGATAGAAAGATAAATAGATAGATAGGTAAATAGATAGACAGACAGACAGACAGATAGATAGATAGATAGGATAGATAGTTAGATAAACTAGATAGATAGATAGATAGATAGATAAATAGATAGATAGGTAGATAGATAGATAGATAGAGAATTACAACTACAACAACTACAGCTACCACTACACTACACTAGGCTACCGCCACAACTACAAATACAAATATACTACGCTACATTAAACTACACTCATTACACTGCACTACACTAATTACATCTAATTACACTACACCAATTATACTAACAACTACAACTACTACTACTCCCACAACTACAACTACAATTACAACTACACTACACTACACTAATTACACTGCGGCACGCTACAACTACAAACATAACGACAACTACAACCACACTACATTACACAACACTACACTACACTGATTGCATTGCATTGCACTACAACTACAAGTACAACTGCAGCTGCAACTACAACTACCACTACATTACACTACACTACACTATACTACAACTACAACTACAACTGCAACTACAACTACAACTACAACTGCAACTGCAACTACAACTACAACTACACTACACTAATTACACTACACTACACTAATTACACTGCGCTACACTACAACTACAACTACACTACACTAATTACACCGCACTACAACTACAACTACAACTACACTACTAGACTACACTACACTATGCCACACTACACTACACTACACTACACAACACTACACGTACACTACACTAATTACACCACACCACGGCTACAACTGCAACTGCACTTGCAAATACACTAATTACACTACATTACAGCTACAGCTCCACTACACTACACTACAACTACAGCTACAACTGCAAGTACAACTGCGCTACACCACACTTCATCCAGCAGTTGTGGTAAGGTGACCACTGCAACCATTGCAACCATTCCAAAAAACACAACTCCAACCACCTGTCGGTCCATCAGTGGATTCGCTCTGCCATCCGTGATTCAAAACAACCAACCTCCCCTATAGGTTTCCTATTTTTGAAACTTCCGCCACTGCCTTGTGCGGTACTACTGGTACACAAATAAACATCAGTCAAGCTGTTGGGTGCCCTTTTGTCCTTTTGTCAAACCTTAAAGAAGGTCAGGGCAAACTGCTGCTGTGGAATGGGGGTCTGGCTGAATAATTTATAATAAATTTCAGTTGCCAACCCAAAATGTTGGCTTATTTTGGGATGATTGGTCCTTGTTCATCATCATCTACAGTATACATTATCATTCAAGTCGGGTGGATGTTCAATGATGTCCAACTATCCTAGACCCTACGCCACAAAACTTGGCTCATCTTCCTTCCAACAATCATCTGGCACTGCAATGAACTGTAAAAAATACATGTGCAAATGATCTTCAGCCATGGTACCTTTCAATTAGATTGATTTAAAAACCATGGTTTCAAGCTGCAAATATGGGTTTCCTGTCAAAGTTTCCCTACAACATCCTGCAACAAATGCTGGGAACTTAACTCAAATTTGCCCTTGCGTTGATATATGAGTCATGCGTGAACGTTTCAAGTTTCAAGTCAAGTTGCGCTGCTGAAATTCCCCAAATGTTTCTGCTTCAATCCATGTTTGAAAGTTTACATCTGTTAGGAATTTGGAGCCCCATACACTGTCCCCTCGCTTTGAAAACCTTCCAGAACTTGGAGCCTGGCAGGGTAACCTGAGTGCAAGATTTTGGATGCAGAAACGACGCCGCGTGGCTGCAAAATCCGAGATGGGTTGGGAGCACACAAATTGCAAAAAGGCGTTGCAGCGAAAAAGGATCCCTTTGTCTGTGCTGGTCCGTTGTCCTTAAAGCACCTTTGTCTGGACGAGTCTAGCCAGGACGCTCCGAGTCATTTTAAGTCAACTATAACTCTTTGCGACTCGGAGTGCCCTGGGTGAGAAAACAGGATCACATACAATGTAACGCCAAGGTGCATCGTAAATATCCCTGAGACAAGGGTGCTGATTCAGAAGGCCAAGGGAAGAGGGCAAAGATTGAACAAAGAAAAATGCAGAAACTTCACAAGAGTATAAGAGAAAACCCCAAAACATCTTCTGTGACAACGGCGCCGAATTTCGCAAAAAAAATCTGCCCCACGAATAAGGCGGCCCCATAAGCTGTCACCCTATTGGCCACCCACTCGAACAAAATACATTGCAATTTGTTAAGCTCTGAAAAGAATTCTGCTCAATCTGCATCTCAGGATCAAATCATCAGAATCGCTGTCATCTTCCTCCGGCAGCCTGAAAAGGCGAGGCAACGTTAGGTTCAGTGAGAGGCCCAGCACAACGAACCTCCTCCTCCTACTACTACTACTACAACTACTACTACTCCTACTCCTACTCCTACTCCTACTACTACTACTACTACTCCTACTCCTACTCCTACTCCTACTCCCACTTCCATTCCCACTCCCACTCCCACTCCCACTCCCACTCCCACTCCCACTCCCACTCCCACTCCCACTCCCACTCCTACTCCTACTCCTACTACTACTACTACTACTCACTACTACTACTCACTACTACTACTCACTACTACTACTACTACTACTACTACTACTACTACTACTACTACTCACTACTACTACTCACCACTACTACTACTACTACTACTACTACTACTACTCACTACTACTACTCACTACTACTACTCACTACTACTACTCACTACTACTACTCACTACTACTACTACTACTACTACTACTACTACTACTCACTACTACTACTCACTACTACTACTCACTACTACTACTCACTACTACTACTCACTACTACTACTACTACTACTACTACTACTACTACTCACTACTCATCAGTACTACTCACTACTACTACTCACTACTACTACTCACTACTACTACTCACTACTACTACTCACTACTACTACTACTACTACTACTACTACTACTACTACTACTACTACTACTACTACTACTACTACTACTCACTACTACTACTCACTACTACTACTACTACTACGACTACGACTACGACTACGACTACGACTACGACTACGACTACGACTACTACTACTACTACTCACTACTACTACTCACTACTACTACTACTACTGCTACTCCTACTCCTACTCCTACTCCTACTCCTACTACTACTACTACTACTACTCCTACTCCTACTCCTACTACTACTCCTCCTCCTACTCTCCTCCTCCTCCTACTACTACTACTACTACGACGCCTACTACTACTCTTACTTCCACTCCTTTAGTCCTACTCCTACTCCTACTCCTACTCCTGCTGCTACTCCTACTCCTGCTGCTACTGCTGCTACTGCTGCTAGTGCTGCTACTGCTGCTACTGCTGCTACTGCTACTGCTATTGCTAACTACTCCTCCTACTCCTACTCCTACTCCTACTCCTCCTGCTCCTACTCCTACTCCTACTACTACTACTCCTACTACTCCTACTACTCCTACTACTCCTACTGCTCCTACTACTCCTACTACTCCTACTACTCCTACTACTCCTACTACTACTACTCGCACTACTCCTTCCTACTCCTACTCCTACTCCTAATCCTCCTCCTACTCCTACTCCTACTCCTAATCCTACTCCTCCTACTCCTCCTCCTCCTACTCCTACTCCTACTCCTCCTACTGCTACTACTACTACTACTCCTACTACTACTCCTACTACTACTACTACTACTGCTGCTACTGCTACTACCACTCCTCCTACTACTACTCCTCCTACTCTCCTCCTCCTACTACTACTACGACGCCTACTACTACTCCTGCTTCTACTCCTTTACTCCTACTCCTACTCCTACTCCTACTCCTGCTGCTACTACTACTCCTGCTGCTACTGCTGCTACTGCTGCTACTGCTGCTACTGCTGCTGCTGCTACTGCTGCTACTGCTGCTACTGCTACTGCTATTGCTACTACTACTCCTAATCTTACTCCTCCTACTCCTACTCCCTCCACTCCTAATCCTACTCCTCCCACCCCTACTCCTACTCCTCCTCCTCCTCCTACTCCTACTCCTACTCCTCCTACTGCTGCTACTACTCCTACTACTCCTACTACTACTGCTACTACTACTACTACCACTACCACTACCACTACCACTATCACTACCACTACCACTACCACTACCACTACCACTACTACTACCACCACTACCACTACCACTACCACTACCACTACCACTACCACTACCACTACCACTACTATACTACTACTACTACTACTACTACTACTACTACTGAAAGCCAACTATGTCAACTACTGCATGTCCATATCAGCAAGAATCCATCCATATCCACCTTCAGCTCAAGGGCAAATTGACTCATTAGGATTTTCTTGGTTGGAAACAAATCAGCTGAAATATCTCCTGGTGTTCAACGCATCAACATTCGTCAATATGTGTCGAAAATCAATGGGCAGCTCATCCCCTTGTCACTTTTACTTTCTGATTCAAGACCCAGAGTTCTTAAAGGCGTCTTCCGTCCGTTGGCCTCGCTTGAGGCTTTGCTGGAGGCGTGGTTCCATTGCAAGCAGACCCTGTCGGTACCCCTGTGGGTCCAGCAGGGACAGAAGGTCGAGGGACAGAAGGCCTCTCCTCCGGGTGTTGTAGAATGACAATGAACCAATAATACCCATATGATCCAATATGATCCAATATGAATACGTACGAATCATCTGGAATGCAAGGAGAAGATATGACAAGGTATGACAAATTCTTCGAACCAAGCAAAACATGATCAACATGTTGTGGCCCAGTCGACTTTTTCCACCCAACTCGGTCCTGGTTTCCTGTGGTGTCGCGGGTCCTCAAATTTCAACAAAACACGAGAAAACAGACGTGTTTTCCTTGCAAATGGAGTGGAAACAGGATGGAACCGAAATGGACTGAAGCAAAATCCCTGGTTCAACGGATCGGCCATATCATATCAGCCATGATACGACATCACCAAGGCACCGAGGCGCGCTCCGTCCACTGATTCCACTGACTTGGCTCGTACCACCCTTCGGCAAGAAGCCCTCAGGTGTAGGGCCCTGATTCACGCATACCCTCAGCAGCGACAAGACTCACGAGACCAGACTGTCCCAAAGGTATCTCTGCCTCCAAGCTATTGAATGAGCTCAAACATTTTCAGACCAATCTTGTTGACGGGAAGAACAAGTAATCATAATATCATAATCATACATATTATGTACTTTTCAAATCTTTTCACATGAATTTGGCTATTGAATGAGCTGAACATAGCTGAAGGAATTTTTCGGGCCGGTTTGCCAAGGCACCGAGACATGGAGGACCTGACGGAGCCAAACTGAGGCGGCCCTGCTTGAGAAGGCGGCCTTGCAAGTGTCGCAAGATGTCGCAAAGATGTCGCAAGTTCTGATTTCAACAAGAAATTCATAGAAATTCATAGAAATTCGATAAAATCTTCAACTTCTTCAACCTAAAGTCTGCACAAAGATCTGGAACGTTCTTCAATTCTTCCCCTTTCGAAACCAGGTTCGCGCCAATTCTCTCCCCGGCACCTACTAGTCTGAGCAGCAGGCCTAAGTGCCGCATCTTGTCATTGCAAAGGTTTGGTGAGAAACTATGAGAAACTGTAAGAAAACATAACAACCCCAGGAAAAACGCTGGTGAAAGTCTTCAAACTAAGGCATTTACAGTTGCAGGAATGGTTTAGGTAACGATGCACTGATTTCTTTCATATTTTTCAACTCTTTTCCTCTTCCTGCCAACACGCTGTTGACACGTCCGCTCTAGGCACTTTCCGTCTGTGCAGTCGAGCTTCGGCGCGCCAACAGATGTGCCGCGGTAGTCGCTTCCATTCATCCTTTGTTGACGGCCCCTGATGGGCACTGATGGGGCATTAGTCATGAGTCGAAAAACATCAAAAAATATCGAAGACAAAGGCTTCAAACATCTCTGATTATCTCTGATTAATGTTTTGGCATCCCAAGAGAGACCTCGTGGCAACATGTTTGGCACTTGAATATCAAGGGTGGTAGGGTGTCCTGGCCCACACCCATACATTCCTTTCGTTTGGGCACGCCAAAATATTCGAAATTGCAGAATCATCTAAGCCGCCAAAGCCCAAGATCACGTTTGGTCGCCTTTGGTTCCGCGGGTCTCAAGTTCTTGGCTTCACGACCCCACGATCCGCCTGATGATTTTCACTTGCGTTAGATTTTTGGTCCGTGGGTGCCAAAAAAACAAGATTACATAGACAACCTTCCCCCACAGAAACATTCGGCAACGTTGCAAGTAACAAGAACATTACAAACATTTATGTGATTGACGGCTTCTTTCATCAAGGTCAACTTTGGCTGCTTTCGGCACCACATCGCATTCAATGAGGCGCAACACGGTGGTTTAAGATGTCAAGGTTCTGTTGGCCCTGAAGACCGTGAGATGGGAAGCCTTGTGATTGGCTCTGGGGCATTCCAGAATTCATCCTTGGCACAAAAATTCAGCTGGATGCTCTCTTGAGAGTCCTGTTCAAGTAAGCTTCCATCCCACTGAGTACAGTTTCAAGCTGTTTCAAGGATTCTTCTGAAAAAAAAAACTGATGCCATCTGGTGCCGTTGCTACACAAAAAGGCTACACAAAAAGGCGGCCCAGTCACGTAGCACGTCCCCATCGCCCATGCCCATGAGGCGCTTGAGGTTGTGGGATCCTAAATCTCACGTGGGGATGGGGACCGATGGGGACTATTGGACCATGTTGACCATGTTGACCATGTTTGCCATTTTGAGATATTTTGGGAAATTTGGGGATGCCTAAATCCGCCCACACCGCTTTGGCGGTGAAGGCGTGCTTATTGGGGGGCAAAACAGCAACACTAAATGCTCAATGACATTTGTTAATATAGCAGTCGCTATATCAGCTTTAGCTGGGGGGGGGCAAAAACGGTTTCGCACCGAGACCAGACCCCAAAAACGGTTTCGCACCGAGACCAGAATACGGTGGTGTTTTCGACATTTTTCGAGGATTTTTGGGTGTCTGAGCATTGAAATGGAATTTTGGGTCATTTTGGTAGCTTTCCGGCAATGGAAAAACGGCCAAAAATTAAAAAAACATTGTACATAGCAAGATTTTGCAGGGTTTTTGGATGCCAGAGCATTGAAAACACTGCAAAAACAAGTGTTTTGGACTGACGTTATAGCAAAAAACGTGTAAATTACCGTATGTTTGACTGGAAACATTACAAAACACTGTCAAAAGCAATGTTTTGGAAGGATTTACTGCCTTTATGGCAAAAAACGTGTAAATTACCGTCTGTTTGACTGGAAACATTGGAAAAACACTGTCAAAAACAATGTCTTGGAAGGATTTCTTATATATATATATATGTTGGAGTTGGCTACCGGCATTGGAACATGGAAAAAATGAAGAAAACACTGTAAATAGCGGTATTTTCAACGGTTGGGGAGATAAGGGAATTGGAAGCATTGTCGAACATGATGTTTTCGACCGGTTTTATGGCGCCAAAAGTGTAAAGTACCGTGCTTTGAAGGAAACCATTGCAAAAACATGGAAACACATTCAAAGAACACGGGATTTGGGGGACTATCTAGGCGTCGTTGTCTAGCTATTTGAAATTCCGCAGCTTGGAGAGCCTCCAAGGGAGGGAAAAGTGACAATTCCATAGCTTGGGAAGCTGTCACGGCGGGGAAAAGAGAAAATTCCCTAGCTTGGGAAGCCCCCACGGGGGGGAAAAGTGAAAATTCCCTAGCTTGGGGAGCCCCCACGGGGGGGAAAAGTGAAAATTCCCTAGCTTGGGGAGCCCCCACGGGGGGGAAAAGTGAAAATTCCCTAGCTTGGGGAGCCCCACGGGGGGGAAAAGTGAAAATTCCCTAGCTTGGGGAGCCCCCACGGGGGGGAAAAGTGAAAATTCCCTAGCTTGGGGAGCCCCCACGGGGGGGAAAAGTGAAAATTCCCTAGCTTGGGGAGCCCCCACGGGGGGGGAAAGTGAAAATTCTTAGCTGGGGAGCCCCCACGGGGGAAAACCACCCTTAGCCCCTCTCACGGACCGAAATAAACCTGCGGTGTGGGCGGCCACCCCACGCGAAGCGGGGTGAATAACCAGCTATTTTGGGCACCAGTTGCTGTCAAGGCTCTGTTGGCCTGAAGCCATGAAGTGTGGACTTGGCATTGCTCCAGACATCCTTGGGAAATGCAAAATGCCACTGATGATCTGTCCCTGTGGCTAAACTCACACAATGCACTCCGAATTCCACCTCAAATTCAAAATCCTTTTTGCCAAAATCAAGAATATCCTTCACAGTTCACGGCGACGCCCATGGAATTTTGTCGCAAGCTATGATGCCCTGGAGGGTCTAACCATGTGCAACAATGTTGAAGATCACCACACTTTTTGTTTGCTGCAATTTTCTTCAAGCCAAGGTTCATGTAGTTTGGAGGTTGCGCTGCTTGCCCTGGTTGTCCTGGTTGCCCTGGTTGCCCTTGCGACATTGGAGGCCTAAGACAGTCGTATGGCCGTCAAACCCCCAATGCCACTCTAATCTATGGGCAAGAACTGAATAATGTTTTCTCAGAGCTCAACCGGTTGTCACAAAAAAAACTTAGCAATGTTAAGGAAAGTCCGTTTCGCATGCACAGCATCAAGACGGAAGGCAACGTCTTGACTCTTTTCAGGAGTTAAACCATATAAGACCCATTGTTCCAAAAGCGCGACAACTCACAGAGCAATCTGGCTTCAAGTCTCCAAATTCTCCAATATGTTGACTGCGCAACATTCAGCAAAGCTACTGGTTCTGCGGCTGACCAGCTGCCACATTTGGCGGAAGACTGTTCATCCTGAATCAGAGGTTCGACATTCTGGTTGACACTGGTGACAAAACGTCTCTGCTGTATAGTTTAAGCATTTTTGATATATTTTTGACACCTTCACTGACCTAATTATGGCGCCCTGAAGAATGTAATCATGTGCAACAATGTTGAAGATCACCACACTTGTTCCCGAGAGCGTCTGAGCGCAGGGTTCTTCCAATAGTGGGGGTCTGTATCTCATCTTCTCATCTTCACACCTTCTCTCACACCTTCTCATCTTCACATCTGCTCATCTTCTCATCTTCTCATCTTCACATCTTCTCATCTTCATCATCTTCACACCTTCTCATCTTCACATCTTCTGTCTCTCTCACTCTCTCTCCTCTTTTCTCTCTCCTTTCTCTCTCCCTTTTCTCTCGCTCGCCTTCTTTATCTTTCTCTCTTTAGGCCGAGGGTGGTGGGGAGTCACGAAACGTGAACCCTTTCGCACGAAATGAGGTTCAATCGGCAAAAACTGAGGTAAAATTGCGATTTTACGTGCTCCGGAGCAACCGTTTCGCAGGAAATGAGGTTCGATCGTCAAAAACTGAGGTAAAATTGCGATTTTACGTGCCCCGGAGCAACCCTTTCGCACGAAATGAGGTTCGATCATCAAAAACTGAGTCAGAGGTAAAATTGCGATTTTACGTGCCCCGGAGCAACCCTTTCGCACGAAATGAGGTTCGATCGTCAAAAACTGAGGTAAAATTGCGATTTTACGTGCCCCGGAGCAACCCTTTCGCACGAAATGAGGGTCGATCGGCGAATAAAATTGCGATTTTACTTGTCCCGGAGCAACCCTTTCGCACGAAATGAGTGTCGATCGTCAAAAACTAAGGTAAAATTGCGATTTTACTTGTCCCGGAGCATCTGTGTAAAAGTGTTTGCGTGTAAGAGCTTCTGTGTGTAAAAGTGTTTGTGTGTAAATGGGTTTGTGTGTACGAGTGTTTCTGTGTAAAGATGTTTGTGTAAAAGTGCATCTGTGTAAAAGTGTTTGTGTGTGTAAAACCTTCTGTGTGTAAAAGTCTTTGTGTGTAAACGGGTTTGTGTGTACGAGTGTTTCGTGTAAAGATGTTTGTGTGTAAAAGTGTTTGTGTAAAATTGCATCTGTGTAAAAGTGTTTGTGTGTAAAAGTTTCTGTGTGTAAAAGTGTTTGTGTGTAAACGGGTTTGTGTGTAGGAGTGTTTCGGTGTAAAGATGTTTGTGTGTAAAAGTGTTTGTGTAAAAGCATCTGTGTAAAAGTGTCTGTGTGTAAAAGCTTCTGTGTGTAAAAGTGTTTCTGTGTAAACGGGTTTGTGTGTAAGAGTGCTTCTGTGTAAAGATGTTTGTGTGTAACAGTGTTTGTGTGTAAAAGTTTCTGTGTGTAAAAGCTTCTGTGTGTAAAAGTGTTTCTGTGTAAACGGGTTTGTGTGTAAGAGTGCTTCTGTGTAAAGATGTTTGTGTGTAAAAGTGTTTGTGTGTAAAAGTGTTTGTGTGTAAAAGTGAATCTGTGTAAAAGCTTTTGTGTGTAAAAGTGTCTGTGTGTAAAAGGGTTTGTGTGTTAAAGCGTCTCTGTGTAAAATGGTGTGAGTGCAGAAGGGTTTCTGTGTAAAAGGTGTTTCTGTGTGACAACGGCAATGTGTGTGTGTAAAAGCGGCTTTGCTTACAAGTTTTGTTTTCTTGCCCCGTTGATTGTTTGGCATGTTTGTTTTCCGGTCATCCCTGTCATGTTCAGGCCTTGCTGGCAAGCCCTAAGCAGTCCTGACTTGTTTGCTTGGCATGTTTAGTAGGCATGCTTAATTTTACCCTGAAAGAGATATGAATGGATTAATGAGGTTACATTGGGATTCACTGATTTTTTGGTTGTGGAGCTTGTGAGCAGTCCTGATTTGTTTGCTTGGCATGTTTAGTAGGCATGCTTAATTTTACCCTGAAAGAGATATGAATGGATTAATGAGGTTACATTGGGATTCACTGATTTTTTGGTTGTGGAGTTTGTGGAGTTTGTAAGAGCTTCTGTGGGTAAAAGCTTTGTGTGTAAAAGTGTCTGTGTAAAAGCGTCTGTGTGTAAAAGCTTCTGTGTGTAAAAGCTTTTGTGTGTACAAGCGTCTGTGCGTAAAAGGGTCTGTGTGTGAAAGTGTCTGTCTGTAAAAGCTCCTGTGTGTGAAAGCTTTTGTGTGTAAAAGCTTCTGTGTGTAAAAGCTTCTGTGTGTAAAAGTGTTTGCGATGCAAACTATTGTCCTGCACTTCTGCTATTTTGTCTTAATACTCCTCTTCTCGACTGCCTATAACACATCTTTAATATATTGTTTCTAATATGGTGTCTCCATACTAACAAGAGAAGACCTGCTCCTCTACGCTCTCGGGCCATCCGTCGTCTAGTTGTTTGCTGCAATTTTCTTCAAGCCAAGGTTCATGTAGTTTGGAGGTTGCCCTTGGGACATTGGAGGCCTAAGACAGTCGTATAGCCGTCAAACCCCCAATGCCACTCTAATCTATGGGCAAGAACTGAATAATGTTTTCTCAGAGCTCAACCGGTTGTCACAAAAGACTTGGCAATGTTAAGGAAAGTCCGTTTCGCATGCACAGCATCAAGACGGAAGGCAACGTCTTGACTCTTTTCAGGAGTTAAACCATATAAGACCCATTGTTCCAAAAGCGCGACAACTCACAGAGCAATCTGGCTTCAAGTCTCCAAATTCTCCAATATGTTGACTGCGCAACATTCAGCAAAGCTACTGGTTCTGCGGCTGACCAGCTGCCACATTTGGCGGGGGACTGTTCATCCTGAATCAGAGGTTCGACATTCTGGTTGGCACTGCTGACAAAACGTCTCTGCTGTATAGTTTAAGCATTTTTTAAACAATGTTTTTGTTGCTGCAATTTTCTTCAAGCCAAGGTTCATGTAGTTTGGAGGTTGCGCTGCTTGCCCTGGTTGTCCTGGTTGCCCTGGTTGCCCTTGCGACATTGGAGGCCTAAGATAGCAGCATCACCAACAGCTCGCCTATATACTTTGCTAAGAGAACTCAAATCTTGTGACAACTGATAGCACTGAGGGAAACAAGAGAGAGAGAGAGATAAGTAGAGAGATAATATTAGATAGTATATCAATAGATCGATGTATATTTTGCCGACGTGCATGTGCAGATCAATCATCAGCTTCACTGCATCTTGGTTGCTGGTTCGCACCAGGGAAGCCTTGCGAGTGGTTTGGAGCCATCCCGGTAGTCCTCAGCACAGTGAATTCTGTGCAAATCAAATCGGACAAAGTGATTGAAATTGCTGCCAACTGAATTTGTCTCCTGGCTGCAACTCAGGGTTGCAACATGTTGGGAACATGTTGCAACACTGATTTCCTGTATTTTCCTGTGGCATGCGCAGCCGAAGTTCCCATAGCCTTGTACCCCTTGCTGACTCGTCGCGTCCATCGTAGGCCTCCCAGACGACAGAAAATTGTGTTTCTGCTGCCCAAAACTGCAACAACCCCTGTGCCATTCATCTCCAAGGTGGGTGTGTTGTAGCGTTTGCAAGCTGTCATGCTTAATGTGTGCAGTGGATTATCAGTGGATTGCAAATGCTACTGTCAAACGTTCAATAGTTCTCTTCTGAATTCAATGAACAATATTGAATGATTAATTAAGAACAATGAACAAGGCAAATAGTATGAAATCGAAGTGTTCCAAAGGTCAAAGAACATCTTGTTTAAGATTCAAGACGACACCTACGAGTACCATGTTGTTAAAGCTGTATCTGTGAATCATTGACCGATCATTGAGGTCTGTGCGAGCCTTTTGTTGGGAATCGGAATTAGTGGGCCTACCTTTGGGTAATTAGTAGATCCACTTGTTGGTAATTGGTGGGCCCTCAACTTGTAATCTTGTCCGCCTAATATTTTTGGGTCGAGAAAACACGGTTGGGCACCATTAAAGATTATAATCTAGAAAGCCCTCAAAAGAACTCGCAATGCAGAGCCCTACAAATCTCCAAGGGTAAAATTTCTGAGCCTCGAATCAGGAATTGTTTGGACCCTTGATCATCTTGATCGAGGGAAATTGATGGAAAATCCCAAATCATATCAACACATTCAAGGCGTTCCTCCCACGAATGCAGCCGGGCAACTGAGGCGCGGGAAAACCCTGCGAATGATTTGAAGTCATTCCATTCATCCTCAGCTGTAGACCGATTCGGTGTGGCATCCAAATTGGCCAATGAACGGCTCATACGACACCGCTTCCATATTGGCACAAATTCAGATGGCCAACCATCTGCTGCAACCATTGACGTCATATTGTTCAATTTGGATGTCATGTTCCGTCGCTCGATTGCCTGCCTCATGCACTGATGCGCCTTTCGAGCCCTGTTGTATCCAATTCAAAGACTTGGTTAGTGCAGTCCAAACTGCAGCTGGTTCTGTTAATTGCTTGGATTGGAAGTCATAAGTAGTCATAAGTGTCACTTCCCAAGAGCAGCAAGCTTGGTGTGTTCATTTTCATATCACACTACTAGTACTACTTGTGCTATGTCCTACTTCAACTCCTACGGTCCTACATCCTTCGGTGGACTCTTGTGAAAACCATCTGCTGAGATGCCCAGGAAATTGGTGATTCATTGGCATTCCATTGGTCCTGAGTCAGACTCTGTGGCCGCAACAACAGAATCTGTTCAACCGCTGCCCACATGCAACCTACCTTACATGCAACAAGATGGTGGATACATGTGGATACCACTAACCGGCCAACTTCACGTCTTCCGACTATGGACAATATGGTCCTCCCTATTTGGATCGCTTGCCGTCAACAAAATGTGCACAAAACTCATGAGATTCTTCAGTTCAAATCAGAATGATCAGAATCAAAATGCGAAGCTTTGGGTTTCTGAAAATGTGTAAGATTTGTAACCCCCATAGAAGTCATGTCCATCCTTGCAGCCAAAGCAGCTGTGGATTCTGCTGAAATGGTGCACCCTGGCATGGACCCTGGCATGGACCCTGGCATGGACCCTGGGGCCTTAGTTTGATCATGTCCCACATATCACGGCAACACACTGCAACACTTGACAGGCACGCGGCATGCTGACATAGTGCATCCTGTGATTTCTGGCATCAGATCTACAAGATCTACATGCAATCTGCAACTGAGATGCCCGAGAAACTGTTGATTCATTGGCATTCCATTCATCCTGAGCCAAACAATCAGAGGATATCAGAGGAATCCAGGAAGGGTCTGAAACATTCTGAAACCTCACCAAGTCGATTCAAGTGGGACATATCGCCCTGGTCGTTCTTGCACAGTAAGATTCGGGAACCGACTAAGTAGGAACCGAACCCAAACGAACCATGTATTTTGGGATATTTTGGGCAACCGGTCAATGAGGAAACGGCTAGAAACTCGACCGGAATCATCAATTCCACAAACCGGACGGGCGCGTTCCTTCATGGAGATTCGACTGTTCCTCTCGTAACATTGATCTTCCTTTTGAGCGGGTTTTGTTTTTGGGGACGCAGAAAGGCAAGCAGCCAGAGGCTTTCGGAGCAATTTGGAAAAGCCGTTGCTTAACATGATGTATAACTGTATAACTTTATAACTATTGTGCGAGATGGGATTCTTTGACCCATGAGAAGTATAAGTCATTATAATTTCGTGGTTGTTCATATGCTTCTTCCGGACCCAAGGTAGAATCATGCACCTCTGAGTTGCGATTCAGAACCTCTGCAAACAACAAACCGAACCGCCTAATCAACCACTTCTGAGGAAGCGAAACGATCCGCAACGAACAGAATGAACCAAAACGAACCAAAACGAACCGAAGCCACCCTGCTTGCAGCCAAAGCAGCTGTGGATTCTGCTGAAATGGTGCACCCTGGCATGGACCCTGGCATGGACCCTGGCATGGACCCTGGGGCCTTAGTCTGATCATGTCCCACATATCACGGCAACACACTGCAACACTTGACAGGCACGCGGCATGCTGACATAGTGCATCCTGTGATTTCTGGCATCAGATCTACAAGATCTATATGCAATCTGCAACTGAGATGCCCGAGAAACTGTTGATTCATTGGCATTCCATTCATCCTGAGCCAAACAATCAGAGGATATCAGAGGAATCCAGGAAGGGTCTGAAACATTCTGAAACCTCACCAAGTCGATTCAAGTGGGACATATCGCCCTGGTCGTTCTTCCAAGCAGCGGTGGATTAAACGGCGGACCCTGGCATGGTCCCTGAGGCCTCAGGATTTAGGGATTTTCATTGAACAAATCCAGGTGCTTTTTTGCTTAAGCAGTTTCTTGCCACCTTGGGGCTGTCCAATATTTCTTGACTTAGCGGACTTAGCGTGATCATGATCGAGCAGATGCTGAACCACTATCTCAGAAAATCATAGAAAATCAGCAGCAAAATAGTTTGCAACCTGTAGATCCTGTAGAAACAAATTTGGAAAATTCCAATACCCAGCTTGACCCATGACCTCACCAATCATCCGGCAGTGCACTTTGTTGAGACATTGACATAGATTCCATAGATATCTATAGATCATTCCAACATATTCCAACTACTTCGGATCCATTGACATCTCTGAGGCCTCGTTTGCAGATCGTGTCACCAAAAACATGTAGCCATGTAGCCCATCTGGGTTCCCAACGCATTGTTATTCAACTCATCATCCGCCCACGGATCGTCATAGGGATCATAGTTGGGTTGCCTCAGGAAATAACAAACCTGGATGCGTTTGGAAAAAGAAAACAAACTAGAGCCCCAAACCTGTAAGTCATGGCTCGCGCTTGCTGCCACTTTGGTGCCTGACGGTTGAGGCGATACAGAGAAACATGTGTTCTTGCTGTCCCAGCCCTCCGCACCACAATCTTCGCAACTGTTGTGGTCATCTCCTTTATCAATGCCATGCATAAGATATTATGAGTAATTACATTAAGTTATATTACTATATTATTATTTCTCATCAGGATCTCATCATTGATCTCATGATATTCTTATCCTTCCATGCGCCTGAAAGAGCTGCCAGTTCTGGTCATGGCACGTCTGCCGATGCGATTTCCATTGAACAAAAATCGGGTGTTTTTTCGGATTGTTTTCTCTGATGAAATCAAAGTTCTTCTGCAATTCCATGCTGGGGGCGAATCTCCTCAGTTACATGCACTGGAAGCACAACAATTGCCTTGTAACTTTTCTGACACAACGGGTATAACGAGGTTGGGTTGCAAATTGCAATTGTTCTCTCTTGCTCCAAAGCATCTGCATTTCGAGCCGACAAATGCAGCCAGTTGGCTTGTTGCTCAGCATGCTTGAAATAGTGTGACTTCATGACTCGATGGCTTAACCGGCTTAACTTAACCTCAGAACGAAAGCTTCAGAGAAAGGGCACTCCACAGAAGTGTGCAAACAATGTGCAAACAAAACCAAAAATAGAACTGACCCATGAAATCCCATGAAGCATCAAGCAATTTCGTTCGCGAGAACGAAACACGGCTCAATACTGCTCAACATGTCCCCGCACCATGGCACCTGCCCATTCGAACGCCAAAGGCTTCAGACTCACATGGGGGACGTTGTCCCCTCCAACCGCCTCAGCGCCATTGCCATCTCCCAACAGGTCACTTTGGCGCAGAGTTTCAATGTCCCACCTGTAAGGCATCCATGGCTCCCTCAGGGATCACCTTGGGAACGATGACGCCACACCGCATTCATTTTAGATCAGATATCAAATGATTGCGATTATAATCGGTTGAATATATATATATATATATTTATATATATATATGATTATGATTATATCAATTTATATCATGTTATATTTAACGTTTCAATATGTTTAAGTCACTGTTCTCGCACAGAAAGTTCCAGCTTAGCTGTTGAGTGATGGACTGCTTGCAGATTTGCAACCAAGGCAATCGCGAAAAGGGCCTCCCAGACAGCAAGATAAAACCAAACATCTATAATATCTGTAATCCATCAGCCGCCAACATTGCCAGGGCTATGCCGCAATTTTGACACGGTCAAAGCTGGGTTTAACGGAGCCGGCCGTAGCCTGGTAGACACACACGGTGGGCACCATCCGAAAGAGTGGGCCCAGGATACGATCCGCCGTCCTGTGCCGCAAACTGCGTAGTCGAAGGACAATTTTTTCAGCAACTCAGTTTATCATAATGGAATTCATAAGTTTGTCATAAGTTTATCTACAACATAATTTCATAGTTTATCTATAAATTTTGAATAAATTTGATATATCATCTATATATAGCGATATGCTTATTCTTCAAGCATTTTGAAGCTCAGCTCTCAAGATTGGAGTCTCCGCCCAACCTGGCACCCGGAGAGCGGCAGGTACCCTCAGGGGGGTCCTGGCAGATCAAAAATGAACCGATGACGAATTCGATGTCGATGGATTCCGATGGATGTTGGGTCTTGTATGATCTTGGATGGTAGCGCTCCTCCGTTGGGTAATCGCAAGCCGATGGATATTGGGCAGCTGGTTCATAGTTGATGATGGCCAGGACAAATAACACCTGTCTGTCAAAAATTTCGGGGACAACACTGACCAGAGCTGCTTGGGGGGCTGACTTGATTGATGAATGACCACTACACAAAGCAATTCACACCTGTATTTGAGATCCTCTGTTCCAAAGTGTCATTGGAGTCTATTGAATTCCATTTGAATCCCATTTCAATCCATCCCGGCTCATCGTGGATCCCCGAAGTTTCAGACTTCAGTGAGACCTGCGTAACCTGGGTAGCTGACAGTCGAGAGCACGATGGCACCCACCAGGCAAAAGGTCAGGATGGTGTTGGAAGCCTGCCATCAGCAGTAGAATCCGATCTGTGCGCCAGAGGGAAGGAATTTAAATTTGATGGAATTTGGTCCTTGTATCACAGGTCAAATGATGTCGCAAAGCTCAACATTAAGTCCTCAAGTTGAGAGTTTAGGAGTGTCGGAGTCTGACTCCAAGAGTGCACCCCTTACCGTGCTCCCAGGCTCTCGAGTGGTCTTTGAACATGAAGGACACCTAAGATACGTGGAACGCCAAGCCAACGTGGTCAGTCTTGGTCATCTTCTTTTAGGGCCACCATTGGCCACCCGAAATGCAGTACATAGATGAAAAATGAACATACTGAGGAGAACTCAGAAATTCCGAAGATTCAACGTGTCACAAAGTCGAAGTATGTCGAAGTTCTTGCAAGGTGCAATATACGAGAAGCCGGCAATGGCTGGACCTGGCAGGGCGACGGCAAGTCACATGTCGCTGTGAAGGTCGGCGCTGCTTCCTATGACTGGGGCCCCTGGGGCTGGGGCCAAATGCTGCCAAAACAGCAAATAGGGCTTTTCCACAATCGCCCTTGAGAAAGGCGTGGTACCTGGCCCATGTCCAAATATGTCCAAATTAAATGGTCTAGTTGAGATTCTTCGACTTGAACATCAGTTGGCACATACATGTGTTTGTTTCATCAATTTCATCATGTTTCATGATTTCTAAGGATTCGACCCGAACGCATGCAGTGCCACTGGCACTGAGATTGCTGGAAGCACATACAGCACCACATCCTGGAGATAAATGTGTTGAAAGTGACCAAAGGGGAGGGCATCACATCACTGTTGTAACATGTTATAACTTAGCGATGTTTCAATTTTGCAACAAATTGGTACAAATTGATACACATTGTATCTTTATTGGGAGATTGCTATACTGACATATACTGACTATACCCCAAAGTAACAAAACTCATTCGATTTGATTTTGGGCAGCATTCGGTGGCACAATTAGGATTCTACCGGATCCCGGTCTGAGGATGTCTGAGGCATCAGACATAGATCATGTTGGCGAACCAATAGGAGAAGTGCGAAGCTCCGCTCAACGCCTCGAGAATTTCTGGATCCGTTGGATCCGTGAGCCGTCACTGTCAAAGCTACAGCCGGCAACGGCAATCGCTCCTGAAGTTGACGAGCACCGCTGCTGCGCTCCTGTGAGTTGGGTGAAACGAGGAAAACACCGAGGAAAACACTAGCAATAAGCAAGAAAGGGAGAGAAAAGGGAGAGGAGAGAGGAGAGGAGAGAGGAGAGGAGAGGGGAAAAGGAGGGGAGAGGAGAAGAGGAGAGAAGAGGAGAGAAGAGGAGAGAAGAGGAGAGAAGAGGAGAGAAGAGGAGAGAAGAGGAGAGAAGAGGAGAGAAGAGGAGAGAAGAGGAGAGAGGAGGAGAGAAGAGGAGAGAAGAGGAGAGAAGAGGAGAGAAGAGGAGAGAAGAGGAGAGAAGAGGAGAGAAGAGGAGAGAAGAGGAGAGAAGAGGAGAGAAGAGGAGAGAAGAGGAGAGAAGAGGAGAGAAGAGAAGAGAAGAGAAGAGAAGAGGAGAGAAGAG